CTCTCACTTTCTCTGCATGTTCTAGCAAATATTTGATGTGCAGTTGTTTCCATGTTCAGTTGTTGAGACTGTAATCTAATTTTTTTTAACATAATCCATTTAGGAAAAGGTATTATAGCGTACATACACAACAGCTCTCAATATCGTCTCTACAGGATTCACACTGATCAACACCTGTACACATCCTCCATCATACAGGATTTGATACCACATGATTGAAACAATGCTTTCCTGGACCAGCAGCAACAATATCAATACATATCCGTGCTTACTGTAAATCACCTGGCATTATGTAAACACATACTGCCAACCTCTAATCCAGTTATATGAAGAAGATTCTTCCATAACTCGCACACAAACACGAAAGACTGTTGCACTAGTTTAGGTTCACAGCTTCTAGTGACAGATGAGCGCCGAAGCAAGGCTAACATTAATAACAGTGCTCTGTGATTTTCTCACACAGACGATCGCCGTGTTCCCAATCAGAAAAAACACCAACAAATTGATTTTTTTTAGTTGAATAAAGCGTACAGGCAAGGTTAAGCAGGGATCCGCTCTCTGTAAACTTGAGGTAACGTTAACTTAGCGCACCTTACCGCACATCACAGGCTGAGGCTGGATATTTGATCCTTCCTTTATGAAAGACACACACACACACACACACACACACAAAGAATTCTCTATTTTATGGGACTGCATTGTAGTTATTGATTATATTTTTAAAAACATTACGTATCTGAGTGTGTATGTTTGTGTGAGCATTCGTAAGAAACTTTGTGGGGGCAGTGTTGTGAATTATTTTAGCATTATAGCCTAAATTGTTATCATTAATTACTAGAGCAATGGTGGTCTACACTGTTATCATTTAAAGTGTTATTTTATAGTGTAAAGTTAGAGATCACAGTGTTAAAACTCTATAGTTCTGAGTGTATGTGCTCCTTTCTGTATCTAACTGCCCAGGCTCAGCAGTAGCACATGTGTGTGAGTGAGCAAGCACAGTGGGAGGCAGCATCAAAAACACCTGCAAAGGAAAATAAAGAAGCAGAGTTTGTGAAAATTGTATTACAAAACATACATCAATGTAGTCCATCACAGTAAGAATGTCCTGTTTCTAGCACAGAGCACAAACAACACCAGTTTATTCCACAAAAGTCAGGTTATGGATGAAATGGCATGATCAAGCAGAGGGCATGCAAAGGACACAGAGAGGAGGAGCAGGCAGTCAGGGACTTTCCCAGATCCAGGTGCAGTAGGAAAGAGAGCCAAGAGATGATGTGAAGCCAAGAAACAGAGCTATAAAAGGAGGTCCAAAAGGAGGTGAAAGTCAGTCGTTACATGGTTTTCATGTCGACTCGGGTCTCTGATCTGGTAACAGAATGGGGCTCTATTTTGCACCGATCTCTGACGCACTCCGGTGGAACTTTTGTATTCTAATTGGTGTCTGTTTTTGTTGAGAATAAAAATGTTGGTAAAAGTTCAAGCTTTCTTATCTGGCCCAAGTCTTGAATTTGTTACACGACAACAGTTTTTCTGGACCTCAAAAAAGCTTTGATACAGTTAATCATAATGTTCTTGTTTCCAAACTCTCAAAGTTAGATTTTTCAAAAAAAAAACTTTGGCTTGGTTTTAATCATATCTTGCAAATCATGAACAGTGTGTCATTATTAACAAAACAAAACATGATCTTTTGTAGTGTTTTGTTAAGTGTAAAACAGGAATCCCACAGGGGTCGGTGTTAGGTCCAATCCTCTTTAGTCTATTTATAAATGACCTCCCGAAAAATTGGATGTCAAGATACATAATCAACATATAGAGCAAGTTTCAGAAGTTAAATATCTAGGCTTAATGCTGGACCCTCACTTGAACTTTGATAAACATGTTTAAAAAAATAGGGAGAGCTATGAAAGCAAATTTGTATCTATTCAAATTAATTAGTGATTGCTGAACATTTGATGCAGCCAAAACATTTGTTCATACAATGATTTTCTCACACTTGTTACCTCATGGTCACAGGCAGGTATAGGTGTGATTAAAGCATTGGAAGGATTATACAATCGTGCCCTAAAAATATTAAGAAGCCCATTAGATCACTTCATTGTCACGTCCTAAGAGACCTGAACATGTTGAGCATTTGAAAACACAAACCTCATCATGAAGTGTTTGCATGGACAGACTTCTCAGGCTCTCTGTGAGATGGTACAGCCATTAAAGGCCTTTGGATTGTCAACCAGAAATACATAAACTGCAGGGAATTGAAAAAATATTTCTCTGCACCCCCAAACAGCGCTCCCGTAAAAGGCCTCTTCGTCTGAAAGTCCCGGGCTGAATCTCAGTCCCGGTACATCCCCGCTCACCAATCAGAGTGGGCACAGGATGTATACATTTTACAACAACAAATGAAACTACAGCAAAACGTGTGGGATAATGGCGTCAGCCGAACTGACACAGTTTTGTCCGTCCTCTGCCTGGCGTCAACTCACACTGGAAATGTTTGAGCAGCAGAGCGTTTAGCCTGCCCCACATTGTTGACGTGTTGTTAATTTGTCATTTTGTGTGTTTCTACTACCAAAAACAGCTCTCTGTGAACCGGTTTAGTTCCGTTCTCTGCACGGCTTCACAGTCCACATAGAGCATTTCAGAATAAGAGTGTTTTGCCTGCCACATTTTGCTGACTTGTTCAGTTGTCCTTGACTTTTGTGCTTCTACCATGGTTAAGTAGGCCAGTTATTTTTTTTGTCTGTTGTAACTGTGTATTTTGTTAATATATGATCGGGAGTCTGCACAGGATTCTTTATTTTGAAAATCGTGCCACATCACAGTTTAGATGTCTGTCTGTCTGATGTTGTAATGCTAGATGACATCATTTATCTATAGACAGGTTTCTGTGCAACGTCATCACAGAGATGCAGCACGCAGCTAGAGGGCAGAAAGCAGCACTCTGTCTTCGCGACATTTCAGTCTATGCGGTATAGCGGCAGTGTTGGGCACGTTACTCAGAAGTTTTAATCAGTTTCTTTTTACTTATTACTCCTTTAAAAAGTAATTATACTACTTTAGTCATTACTGGGTATTAAAAGTAACTAGTTACGTTACTCATTATGTTACTATCACTTTCAAGCCTCCACACCCACCATCTTTAAAAGTGAAAAAGGGAAAACTTGTTCAGCAGCTCATTTTAGAAATAAATCCACTTTCCTGGAACAATTATTAAGCTAAGGAGTCAACAACCAGACGAACAGAAAACACTGCAGGCTCTAAGACCAGACGATGCTGTACAGTAGGCTATAGGCTACGGATATATTTAAACATAACAAAAAACAAAGCAAGTCTCTCCCAACATTTTCACTAATAGCATATTCGTAACAGCAGCAACGAGTATGGTTTTACGCCACTGGCTGAGATAAAAAAGAAAAGCAAGTCTCTCCCAACTTTTGAACTAACTTTACTGTTTTACACAGGCATTTATAAGAGAAGTATCCAGTGCTTTTACAAAACAACAAAACGTTGCTTAAAGCCACTCTCTCCTGCCAAGTGGATGCTTCACTGGCAGTAGCAGTGGAGTTTCAAATTCAAATTAGCTTTATTGGCATGAATGTAATAACATTGCCAATGCATCAAATTATATAAATAAATAAATAAGTGTGTGTGTTAAAAAATAAAAATATATGTAATTAAATAAAATAAATAAATGAAACAGTAACATGTGTGTGTGTGTATATTAATAGACAAAAAATAAAATAAAATAAAAAACAGAAAAAAAGAATAAACATCCGGTGGAGCCTTTAACCTATTGTACTGCACATTAACTGCATGTAACTCAGTGGTATTTGGTGATTCATTGTAGAACTGGATGAAAACCAAATCATTTCCCCATGAGATTGTAGACATGTTGCATAATTAACTCTTATTTTCTGTCTTCACTGTAAAATAACTCACAATGAAAACATATTAAAACAGGATTTGTTATCTTGTCTTAAGACTTTTTAAATTCTCTGGATCAGATAAAACTTGTGCATCATCAGAGAAATTCCCTGATTATCTGTTCTTGTATCTTTAATTAACTTTTCTTGGTAAATGTGTTATTCAGTAATATTGTTCCTTACTTTCAGGTGCAAAACACTTCATGGGTCCAGGTTTTAACTTATTCTGATCCATCCACACAAACACATGAGTGAAAAGATGAAGTCAGATATTTTTAAGTGATTAGTGTTACAAGATCTGTCCAATCAAGTGTTCTTGTGGACGTTGATGATGAATAATGCACTCATTTAGCTTATTTACCCACTAGAGGTCATCAGTAGACATGGTGGTGTCCAAAGACACTGAACCAGGATCATTTGCTTGGTCTCCTGTCTTCAGCACTGCTGGACTGTTGGACATTTTGTGTCTTTATGTTTATGTGCTTTAGGTTTTCTGTTTGATTTAAAAATAAAAACATCCTTCTAGTTTGGCATAACTAACACGTGCCTTATGTGAATCCCCCCCACACACACACACACACGCACACACACACAGTATATATCGTCTAACAATTGAAGGAAGGAAAATGATTAAGCCAACCTCTTATAGGACATGAACATTACCACTCTCCTTCAGTCTTTAGTCCACTGCTTCAGTATCAAAGTGTTCAACTTGTATCCATGGTAACAGGAACCCATGTAGTTTCTGATAAAGGAGGAAATCAAGCTGCACCTCCACTTTGTGTTTGTATGAAATATTGTCCATGTAAATTATGCTCCACTGTGAAAACTCAACCTCATATTGAATTAAATGTTGAATGTGTTCTTGTTTTCTCCTCCAGATGCTCCAAAGCTTCCCTCTGTGTCAGTGAGTCCCTCTGCTGAGATAGTGGAGGGCAGTTCAGTGACTCTGACCTGCAGCAGTGATGCTAACCCAGCAGCTAATTATACCTGGTACAAGGAGAATGAAGACTCACCAAAAGCATCAGGACAGAACTTCACCATCACTGACTTCAGAGCTGAACACAGTGGGAATTATTACTGTGAAGCCCAGAACAGAAGAGGACGTCATAACTCCACCTTACATCTGATTGTTGTGGCAGGTAAATTTTTCCACATTCACCTGTATACACAGACGTTTACTGCACCAGACCTGATTCACATATTAATATGTAAAAACCAACACATTGTCACTCCTATAGTTGGTACAACGGAAATAAAATTTCTGTCTGCATTTCTAGACTGTTTTTCTGTAGCTGTGACTACAGACAGTATCAACTGGCAAAATGACTTACCAATCTAATCGTACAAGTAAGGTATATCGCATATATATTTTTTTTTATTTCTAGGGAATTCAACAATAGTAATGAATATCATCAGGTTGACTCTGGTGGTCTTGATGCTGATTCCTCTGCTTCTCCTGAATCTGTGGACGAGGTAAAACAATCACAATCCATCAGTTCAGTCACCGCTCTTTTATTCTTCAAACTTCTTTTAATTTTAGTGTTTTGAATTTCATTATTGTTTACATTTGTATTTGTTGTTGTTGGACTCAATCCAGGAAGAAGAAAACTCGGAGCTCCACCTCTGAACCAAATGAACCTGTAGAGACGATAGAGGTGAGAGAGAGGTCCTGTTGACAAAATGTCCCACAGTTATAATAACTTGGCTCATAAATGCTCTGGAAAGTGTGAAGTGAATTTATGTTTGAAATACAACTTGCTGAGTAGAAACCAGTAATACGTTTACTTGTAAACGTGACTGAATACATTTTTGATCTAATCTAATTATATGCAGGTTTCATTGAGCTTCATTTTGTCGTCTCTCCCATCAGTTAGACTCTGATCCTGCGTATGTCAGTGTCTCAGAATTTAAGAGCGTCACTGCAGCACAGACAGAAGACACAGAGCAGCAGGAAGACATGGTGTGAAGTCCAGTCAGGTTAGAGCCTCCTGCATCAAATAAAACAGGCCGACTTCAGATTTACAGTTAAATTTAAAACTCTAACACAAGTTTTATGTAATTTTCTTCAGTTGCAGTTGAAGCAGACTCACCTCATGGTAGGACGGCATTGAAGCATCACAGTAGAGCGAGTCTGTGGAGGAAGTGGATCCATTTACCTTCAACTCCAAAAGTTTTCCTTTTCAGTTCTCAGTAGCAGCAGCAGGGTGGAGTCAGCAGCACAGACAGTCAGCAGCAGCATGTAGCAGAAAATCCTGACGAGTTTCTGTGTGCATGGGGTCATTCATGGAAGCAGAGCAGGTCGAGGTTCACTAAGTGTGAAGCCTTTCAGAATAAGAGCCCATCATCGATAGTTTGTGCAACACCTTAATTATGAGTCTTTGTTCAGCCAAAATAAGTCAATTATCAAAAGTTTGCTGCTATTGCAATATCTAATATGCTGCTCCCCAATGTGAGCTGTTGACACTTTGTGAACTTAATCTGCGCCAATAATACTAAATAAAGTGAATGTCCAGGGTAAAGCTAAAATGCAAATAGTTTCAATACTAAAATTTGAAAATAAAAAGCCAAAGTAAACTACAATTTGATTTAACAATCAGTGATGGATGGTAAAATGTTTCAGCGTCCTGATTCAGTATCTGTGATGTTTCACTGCCCTCTAGTGGTGAACCTTTGTTGTGGCACATTCAGGCTTCCTCACTCTGAGAGCTCCCTCCACTGCCTGTTTCAAAGAGTCACTTCACCCAAATTACAAGAAGACATATTTTCTGTCTTACCTCCAGCAGCATCTTGTCAGATGTGCTCTGTGTTACAGTGACACAGAGTCAGAATGACTGTGAGTGAGAGAGCTGCAAAATGTAATTCATTGTTTCTGATCTACTTTTCTTACACTTTTTGCATCCCATACTTCTGCAGTCCATCTCTTTGAACTTATACTGGTATAAAGGTTATTTCACTGTCTAAAGATGCACTGGAAGTGTCAAGTGAGCATCAAACCAACTTAAACACCTCTCTTGTTTTTGCGCTTGTTTTTTTGAATGGTCTTTTCTTAAATAGGTTTGATACCAACAGTAATATTATTTATTATTAAAATACTTATTCTCTCTTATTTATAGTTGTAAAATGTCAAACTTTTTTGATGTGGGTGTTGTTGTGTGATGTTGCATTCAGCCCATCATGTATATTAGTAATCTAAAGAGGAAGGAAATCTAGTTGTCTAACAGCCTGACATCCGTTTTTTGCTCACTGACCACAGAGGAAAGGTATCTTTAAAGACAGCGTCCTTCTTCACTGTAAGTAGAATTGTTTATTGATGTGAGTGATACTGTATATCTCCTGTGTACATTATTTTATCTGCTGACATGTTTTATTGTCTCTGAAGCCACACAGAGAGATGAGAGGAGCAAATATGAGTTTAACTGCAGCAGCGAGAGGATTTGTCGTCTTCCTTCTCTCTGTGTCAGGTACTGAATATCTAAACTTACATTCATTGCAATAAAAGAGGGAATATGTGAAAATGCGGGTCTTGTAAAAGTAGGCTGAAGGTCACATGTAGAAATTAGTGGCTTAGAGTTGTGTGAAAGGCAAACCCAGAAAAGCTAGAAACATTAGTTTTAATTTACAGTTGTGGAAACTCCCCAGATGTTAATATTTTTTAATATAGTTGTTTGTGTTTGTGTACATTTTATTGGATATTAGAAAGTTTGCTGTGGCCAACTTCTTTTGCTTTGTCCTTTGCAAAAAGTAGGCTACCTGTGTGCTAAGTACTTTTACATGCTGTAAACTGAGAATATCGTGGTTTTTAATTGTGACTCTTTAAAAACAAATTGTCCTGTTTAATTTGCTCTATAGCTGAGCCTGCAGCTGCTTTTATCACAGTATAGTTTTTGGAGGTATATTGGTCTCACAGTGAAGTCATCACAGACGAACTTCTCTCAAATATTCATACATCTGCACCAAACCCTGCTAGTTCCTCTCACACCTCAGTGTTCTGCATTTCTTTTTCGTCTTCACACTTACGCAGCAACCTGACCACACAATGAACAGAGAGAACTGACCAAGAAAAGCACAGACTCTCCCATAACTGATACAGTATTTCTCCTCTTACTTTGGTTAGTAGTGTTGTAGTCAAGACCAAGAACAAAGTTTATATAGACAGAGACAAGAGCAAGACCTTTAGGGGCTGAGACCAAGTCGAGACCAAGACCAGTTCCCCACATTACATGACACATAATAAAATGTGGAACGAGATCACAGGTACTGTACTTCTCTAATTGTTCTAAAAGATCCACATTCCCTTTAAAACACCCACATACAAACACTAAGAACACAATAAATGTCAAATTAGTTCTTATTTCTTTCATATTTAAAGGCAGATGGTAATTGTGGTTTTAAACTATTCTTTATGGTCAGAACAAACACTTGATGCCAAACAGTGGATCACTTCACAAATCTGAGGTTTTTTCAACAAACATGCACAAGTTAAATTAAGTTAAAAAAAATTCAGTCCCTTTTCCTCAAGAAACTAAATATCTTAATAGTAAAATTAAGTGTGAATTCATTTGTGATTCAAATGAATAAAATCAAACATTTATTAAACATTTGTATTATTGTTATTGAGGAAAATTACTTTAATTATCATTATTGTTTTATTACATAATACAATTTTTTGTGCAAGCATTAGGTTTTCAGGTTACTCTTGTCTTCCGTATTTGATCCTTCATTTTGATCTGCAACTGTGTATTCAAACTCAAAATTAGCTCTTTTAAAGTAAAGTGCCGTGTGCTTATGGCCATACAGAGAAACCTATTTAATATGTACATTTTCCATAGAAGTGGAGGAGTGTTACTTGGTCTCCACTCCCTGCCGTCACATCTCAAAGCTAACTCTCTCACACAAATGAGGAAGCGGTACCACAGAGTGCAGCTTTAATGTCTGGAGCTGTGTGCAGCTGACAGTAGCTAACGGTGATGTTACTTAACTTACACATTAGCAACGTAGCTTTTTGTGGCCTGTCTCATTATCACAAGCGAAATTGTATCTTAGGAACAAGTTGTCACCACATGCCCTGTCCTCAGTCTCAAACTAACTAACTTCATTAGCTACTTCCCTCAACAGATTGCTGTGTGTTTTCTTCTGGACGCTGTTTGACAGATTCATTCTTTATGGTTTATGCAGCTAAATGTTATTACGAAGATTTTGCTGACATATCTTCCTGCTCCCAGAAAGCCACAGCTTCGCCTGTCTCCCCCATTCACTTTCTTGTGTGAGTGCGTGTGAAGGAGGGCGGGGAGGGGTGACAGCCATTAACAGTAACAACTCCGTTTTTAATTAGCGTTATTGGTTGCATTTGAAGCAATACGTTTTACATCAAAAGTTAGTATATTAACAAATAAATCAGACAACATTCAGGCAATATATTGATATTTCCAAAGTTCAGACTGGTCTTGAAATAATCCAGAGTCGAGAACAAGAACAAATGCAGCCAATCCCGAGAGGGGACCGAGACCATCAAAAGGTGGTCTTGAGACCAAGACCGGTCTTGTGTACTACAACACTACTGGTCAGTGTCGGAAAGAATAATACAAAACAGCCCTATGGATGCATTTTGTTGAGATCCTCAAATCTGAAACATCTGGAAGTACAAATATTTCTGTGTCCCAACAACAAAGAAGTAGCTTGTCGACGCTGCATGAGCTGCTCTCCCTCTCTGTCGCGCTCCTCGACCTCTCGTTTCTACTGCCACCACCTCAACAGAGAGGAGCAGACACACCTACAGGCAGGAGAAAAGCGTCTCCCCACAGATCATCACACAAGGTGATGGTCTTTTCAACTTCATTGTTGCAGAAGAAGTGACGCCCACTTTCCCAGGGAGACATAAACAGCTGTGAATAGAAAAGAGCAGAGGAGCACAATCACTTAGAGAGTAGCCTGGCTGAGGGGAAGAAGGAGGTGAAATGCTACCTCCATTTTGTTTGGAGCATGTGGCCAGGAATTACACACTGTATGTTTAACGTTATTGTTAAATGCAGTTGTTTATTTTGGTTGTAATTCCTGGTGTGCTCTGTGTTACAGTGATTCAGGGCCAGAACAGCTGGGGAGTGACTTACACCTCTACTCAGATCTGTGCCTTAAAAGGATCAACAGTGGAAATAAGCTGCACCCTCACATACCCATCCAGAATAAATGGCCGTCATACTAAAGTTAAGGAAACATTCTGGTTTACTAAATTGAAAGATAAAGAACCGTTGTTGAATCTGAAAACAAAGTCAGAGTATTCAGGTCGTGTCGAGTATACCTGTAATGAAAACTTCTGCTCTCTGAGAATCACAGACCTGAGAGAGAGCGACTCAGCTGAGTACAAGTTCAGGTTCATAACAAACCAACCAGATGGGAAATATACTGGTTCACCTGGAGTCACTCTGTCTGTCACAGGTAACATTTTTATCTGAATATTTATTAATTTAGTTCCAAGTGTTCAACATCTTATGAAGGTTATTGTGTTTCTATGTTGACAGTTCAGTGTAAAATGAAGACATCTGTTCCTCTTTTATTTATAGATCCTTCTAGTTCGGTATTTTCCAATATGTGCCTTAGATGGACCCTCAAACCACACACACACACACACATGACATGAAGATTACCACTCTCTTTTAAACGT